CTTAAGCTGGGTTCTCTAGAGAAGGAAATCCAGTAAAGTGTAAGTATATATATACATATATATAGAGATTTATCTCAAGGAAATGACTTGCACGGTTGTAGATGCTGGCAAGTCTCAAGTCAGTGGCTCAAGCGTCAGGCTGGAGGTTTCTCCTGATTCACGAGCTGCAGGGGCTGATGGACCCAAGATCAGCAGGTCAGAGGGCAGGTTGTTGACTCACGGGCTGTGGAGGCTGACAAATCCAAGATCAGCAGGTAAAACGGCAGACTGCTGGCTCGAGTCCAAGAGCTAGAGGTCCAATGATGATGATGACCCAGATGCAGGATACAGAGCTAGCAAGTGAGCTTTGCCAGAATGTCCATATATATATATTGGATGCAGGCCACAACCTTCAGGAAGCTCCCCTTACAACTGATTGGCTGATCACATCAGATCACATCATGGAGGATGACTACAACATAACATAACTCCAAATTACATCATGCATAACTGCCAAACCACTGAGAATCATGGCCCAGGCAAGTTGACACACAACCTTAAGTATTACATGTTTATTGCTATAACTCCCAGTTCTTAACACATAGTTGGATCTCAACAATTATTTGTTGATGAATGAATGTGTACCCATGTGGAAACACTGTTCAGAGAAAATAGTAGAATATTATAGTATTATTCTAATTTTGTAAAAAGGAGCCTGGGTGGCTCAAGCAGTTTGTGATGGGCTGCAAACCTGAAGATTGACAGTTGAGCCCATCCAATGGCTCCGCAGAAGAAAAGTCCTGGTGATCTTCTTCTGTAAAGATTACAGTCAAGAAAATCCCGTAGAGCAGATCTACTCTGTAACACATGGGGTTGCCGAGTCAGGGGTCTACTCAATGGCAGCCAACAACAACAGCATTGTAAAAACACTAGAGACATATTTTTATGGAGAAGATATATTTTATTAAGACAAAGTAAATGTTTATGTGCCTAGAAATTTTTTTGAGAAATTATTTTGTATGTGCATAATTTTAAAGAAACTTAATTGTTACGTCTTGAGAGTAAGACTGAAGTTAACAGAAAAGCTTTAACTATATATAAGCTGACCAGAAAATAGATAATAAGCCCGTAAGATTTTGGAAACAGTTGTACTGGATTAAAAAAAAAAAAACAAAAAAAAAAAAAACACCAGCCCAGACTAAAGAGACTATGACTTTTCTAGACAAAAATCCTTGGTCCCAAGACGTTAATCATAGGAAGTACTCTGAGGACGCTTTTCAGACTCCAAGGATACACTTCAAATGCTCATTCTAGATGTGGCCAAGGAGGATAATGATAAAGGAATATATCCCAAAAGGCCAAAAGGCAGAGCCAGGAGCTAGGCAGGACAATGAGCAAAAGAACAGTTTTGAGGGAGTGGGATCAGGACTTAATGAAAAATTCCACACACCCCAGAGTATGGGGGTGCATATCTGCTCAGTGGGATTTCAGAATCCCTTTGGCCTAGTGACTGCTACGAGTCTCCTGTTCTTTCCAAGAGGGATAATTTATTGCAGTTATTCTATTCCAACTCCACCATTGTATATTGGATGTGTAGGCGTCTCTGGATAAAGAGGATTCTCATCAGACCTGATATAGAAACTACCATGTCACCCAGAGTTTCCTGCACTTCGAGCTTGATGCCTTCATTGGATGGAATTTTTGGTTTACTCCATTGGGAACATAGAGTGTAAGTGTGTTTTGTGTGTGCTGTGAACAAAATATTGGTGACCAGTAGGACAGATTGTGCTGGTTATTATTCTGGCTCAACTATATCTGGTTCCTTACTTTTCAGAAGACAGAATTTTCTCATCCCTTTATGGTTGAATGGACCATATCACTATTTCTGGCCCAGGTTGATATGGCCAGATATGACAAGTGCTATTTCTGGGTCATAGCATTTAATTACTGGTGTTAAGATTCTCCAAATTTCACATTTTCTTTGGTGATTTTGGAAGCCCAAATGAGATGAGGCCTCGTGCACCCTAGGCCTCTAAGTGATTGTGATGAGCAGACTTCCCCTACCAATCTGTGTTGGACATGGAGCATAAGTGAGAATTAATTTTTTCTTTATTGTGGAAAATACATAACATTTGCCATTTCAGCAATCTTCACGGGTACATTTCAGTAGCATGAATTGTGCTCATTATGTTGTTCAACCACCACCCTTAACTGCTTCCAAATATCATGTTTAACAGAAGCTCAATGTTCCTAAATATTGAGTCCTCCTTTCCCTCTCCCTCACAGCCATGCCTGGTAGCCACTAATAAACTTTGGACTCTACATACTAGCCTATTCTAGCTATAAGTAGGATCGTACAATTTTATTCTGTTGTGACTGACTTACTTTGCTCAGAATGATGTTTTCAAGGTTCATCCATGTTGTAACATGTATCAGGACAAGAATGAAACTTTCATTTTGTTAAATCCCTGAGATTTGAGGGATTATTTGTTATTCAGCATAACCTAGCCTACCTTGATTGAGAAATCAACAAACAGCAAGAGGGACCTGTAATTGCATATATCTATCTTTCCTGACTTCTCATACTGTCAGTGTCTTTTCACATATTAATTGGAACGATAGTTTCCTGGACACATACTTTAAAGCCTCCTAACTTCGTATATTCAATATGTTAAACATTTAATACAGTATCTTTTGGTAAGTTTTCAAAGACAATCGTCCTCCTATAAAATCTCTAAAACTCCAGGAATAAGAGCGCCAGTGCTTCATTTCTGAGATCCAGCCAATATCACATGGGTAGAGTAATGAAAAGAACGCAAAGTACAGTATTCTAAGATAAGTAATATCAAATTTCATTATAAAAATTTTAAATTGAATCAAATTATCAATTTTATTGCCTAAAGAAGGCTCATAAAAGAAACAAATTTAACTGTTTCAAGCGTTGTCTTAAATATCATAAAAATTTCCTCCTACGATTGGCAGCTGGCTATGGACTAGAAATGATAACCCTCTGTGCAGCTTAGACTGTACTAATGGAAATGAAATAAGACTCTTTAAAATGTATTCTTAATCTTTTTGGCAGCTTTAAGTAGTCTTGCTATTTCCAAAAACAGACACGAGACAATGGGAGCTTTTTTTAAAATAGTGACTATGAAGATTATAAATTGTTCATTTTTTAGGCACCATCTCTTATTCCAAGGAGAAATGTGAGAATGATGGATGCTTCTGATGGTAGCACAACTCTAAAACCTACAAATGTTAGAAGGAAAAATAAAGCTTCTCTTAGCTCTTCATTTTGTTTGTTTTAGATGGCAGGCAGCATTGGATAGGTTTAGGTTTAGAATCTAAAAGCATTTCATTTCTGCCAGCATTTTAATATGAATTTAATTCTGCTGGCTGGCTCTTCATGAAACACGCTATACTAGAATAAAAGCTGTACAAATGTTCTTTACCAAAGAGAATTTTACTGTGAAATTTTCCAGTTGCCGTCGAGTCAATTCCAACTCTTGATGACCCCATTTATGTCAGAGTAGAACTGCTCCATAGGGTTTTCAATGGCTAACTTTTCAGAAATAGATCACCAGGTCTTTCTTCTAAGGCACCAGTGGGTGGACTCAAATCACCTTCTGGTTAGCAGCCAAGCACATTAACATTTGCACCACCCAGGGACTCTACCTTCTCTGATAGGAACCTTTATCTTTTAAGGTTTCTGCAAGACGTTAACAAACGAGAGCTCTCTCCAAGTAAATTTTAAGTCCCTAGAGGGCAGGACAGAGTTCTGGTGGTGCAGCAGTTAAGAGCTCAGCTGCTAACAAAAATGTTGGCAGTTGGAATTCACCAGCCGGTCCTTGGAAACCCTAACAGGCAGTTCTACTCTGTCCTATAGGGTCGCTATGAGTCTGAATCGACTCGACAGCAACAGGTTTTTTTTTTTTGGTAGAGCACAGGACTGGGTTTACCTTCATGCATTCCCCAACATCAAACATGAAGAGTCATGAGTCACTCACTTCGTATTTCTCTCTCTATTCCAAGGTTTTCCAATCCCTAAATTGATTCTTTCCATTACAAGTATAAAAAAAAAACTTCAAACCAAACCTATTGCCATCAAGTCGATTCCGACTCATAGCTACCCTATCGGACACAGTAGAACCACCCCACCGCCCCAAATGGTTTCCAAGGAGCAGCAGGTGGATTTGAACTGCCAACCTTTTGTTTAGCAGCTGCACTCTTAACCACTGTGCCACCAGGGCTCCATTATAAGTATAAAAGAAAGAAAATGCTGGTCTTTACAAGTTCTATATGGAGAGGAGATGGCTTGAAAGGAATCAGAAGCCACTTGGTACTGTGGATGGAAGGAAGTTTCAAAAAAAAAAAGACTGCAACCTGCTCTGAGAAATACCTTTGGAGGTAGAAGTGAAATGCTATGCAAGGTGGGAAATAATCCTTCTCAACATCCTCTAATCGTCGGTAAAGTCTACAGAAATCATAAAATGCTGAATGTAACTGCACTTCTTTTGGAAAATGTTGAAAGAGTCAAGTCTGTATATTGGCAGGCAGGAGGCCAAAACAGAACTGGCCCACATGGCCACGAGAGAATGAACCAAAACGGGCAGGGGGACATCTGGGTCGCTGTCTTAGTCATCTAGTGCTGCTCCAACAGAAACACCAGGAGTGGATGGTTTTAACATAGAGAAATTCATTCTCTCAGTCCAGTAAGCTACCAAGTCCAAATTCAGGGCATCAGCTCCAGGAGAAGGCTTTCTCTCTCTCTCGGCTCTGGAGGAAGGTCCCTGTGATGCATCAGTCTTCCTTTGGTCTGGGAGCATCCCAGCGCAGGAACCTCAGGTCCAGAGGACGTGCCCTGCTCCCAGCACTGCTTTCTTGGTGGTATGAGGCTCCCGTGTGTCTCTGCTCACTTCTCTCTTTTATATCTCAAAAGAGATTGCATTAAGACACTATCTAATCTTGTCAACCTCATCAGTATAACCTCATCACAGAGATAGAAATTACAACACATAAGGAAATCACGTCAGATTACACAGTCATACAACACGGGGAATCATGACCCAGCCAAGCTGACAGATATTTTGGGGGGACACAACTCAATCCATGACAGTCACTTAAGGTTGATTTTGGCAGACGTGGCACCAGTCCACGTAATTTATGAGCAAAACTCTTTTTAAGACAGTGCACTTATTGCATTTTTAAACACACAGCACAGTTTGAAAGAAATCAAAATTACAGAAATACATTTTGTGTCTTAAAATAACTGAACACTAAAGAACTAAACATTTCAATTTTTTTAAGGAAAAGGACACCCATTTTTGTCAAACGTTTACAGTGATTTTGGCTCAGGAGTTATAATTTTCATACGATTCCATAAGTCTCGTCTTCAAAATATGCTATTTGAGGTTGGCTTAGAGAACATTTAACCACATCTACTTCCCCACCACCATTCTTCTTCCGCTGGAAGTGAATGTTAACTAAATCCGTTACAGTTTCTTCATCCATCTGAATGTCTTCCATTCCAGTCAGAAGCACAGTCCTGGGACATATCCCTGAAAATACCTAAGGAGGAAGAAAGATAAATAGAAAAATTGTCAAGAGTTTTGAATCACAACATTTACATTTACAAGCTCTCTTAAATATTTCAGACTTCATCTTGAGAGACACAGGGAACCTCAGGAGGATTTCGAGCACAGGAATGTCAGACTCAGATCTGAGTTTTAGAAAGATACCTCTGGGGGCATTATGGAGACTAGAGGAAAGGAAAGCAGCACTAGGAACAGATTCAGTGACCAAATGAACACTGGTGGTGAGGCAAACTGAAGGGACAAACATGAGTTTTAGCTCTCAGGCTGGTGGACTAGGTAGATGGTGGTGCCATTTAATAACTGAGAAGGTTCAGAAAAAAGGAGCAGCTTTGGGATAGTGGTAATGAGTTCAGAGAAAATGCGGAGGAAGAATCATTTCTAATATCTAATCATAGTAGACACATGAACAAAAAAAGTAGGTATGTCTCCACATGGAAAAATAAAGATTGTACTATTATCTGAAAAACTTCAGTTAAAAAATTGTATAATAAATTAAATAAGGTACAGTTTGCATTAAAATACTTCTTAAAAAACAAACTCAGTCTGTATCAAGTAGACATGAAATTTTGATAACCCTCACTGATGAGATTCAAACATTAACAGACTCAATTTTTTCTTTCTTTTTTTTTTTTTGTGGGGTGGAGTGAGGTTTGGCAGTGAGTTCCCAAAAATTAAAGAGATGACTTTACCTGAAACTTTTCCAAGTGTGTTTCTATATATGGAGAAACAGTAACTCTATGGCAGTTTTGATTTACATACAGAGGAAAGTCTTTCTTTTTCAAAATCTTGTCAGCAACTAAAAGTAAATTAAAAAACAAATTTTCTTTTTTAATATTTTTTAACCAAAGTCGAACCTCCTTCTAACAGAATAATATCACAATAAGCACTGAATTGAGTGATTAATTCTTTAGAAATTCTACCAGGTATTTAAAAAAAAAAGTCACAGTACATAACTTTGACAAACACAAGACCAAACAATAATGAGGTTAAAACAGTCCCTTCTGCCCTGAACTGTCCACTGCAGTCAAATGCACGAAGGCTGCAATGTCCTCAGACAGATCGGTAATGACCTACACAAAATACAACAGCCACCTGTAGAAAGTAACCCATCCATCCGACGAGACTAGGGCATTTCCCAATTTCTCAAGAAATACAAATTCAAACGATGACTGGAAAATAACGATGTAAAGAAATTGTAAATTTCTCAGTTGTACTATAACTTACACATCTGAGGTAATGATGTTAAGTCAAAGGATAGGGAGTTTGAATGTCATCTACAAACAGTGAAAGCAAATAATAAAAATCCAGAAGTATGGCAGTATATATCCAGGATAAAGAAGAGTCTGATTTATTTTTAACAGAAATATCCCTAGAATGGAGAAAGGCAGTATGTCAAGATTGCATAAAGTTTAATAGACATAGTTGTTGAGAATTATCCAACCACTTTTATTGTTAACTCCTCTCAGCAGTCCACCCCTGAGTCAAACATATCTGCCTTCAGTCCTGGCTCTGCTACTTGTGAGCTATGTGCCTTGGGTATGTTGCGTGACTCTGAAGCTTCAGAGACCTTTCCGGCAAAATGAGCAAATAACAGCATTTACCTCATAAGCTGTTGTGATAAGTCAGTAAGACATGGCTTTCAAAGTATTTGGCATTGCACCTAGTAAGTATTACCTACCATAACCTTAATACTACTTTTTTTCTTCCTTCTGGTGGGACATATGGTCACTGTTGTTGTTACGTGCCATCAAGTCAGTTCCAACTCACAGCGACCCTATGTACTACAGAACAAAACACTGCCCGTTCCTGTGCATGCTCACAATCGTTGTTATGCTTGAGCCCACTGCTGCAGTCACGGTGTCAATCCATCTTGTTGAGGGTCTTCCTCTTTTCCGCTGACCCTGTACTTTACCAAGCATGATGTCTTTCTCCAGGGACTGATCCCTCCTGATAACAAGTCCAAAGTATGTAAGACATAGTCTTGCCATCCTTGCTTCTAGGAAGCATTCTGGTTATATTTCTTCCAAGACAGATTTGTTCGTTCTTTTGGTAGTCCATGGTATATTCAATATTCTTCACCAATATCACAATTCAAAGGTCACTAGTTCGCACAAATAGCTTGCCCTCAACTACTAACTTAAAAATTGGGAGTTTGAACCCATCCAGTGCTGCCATGAAGGAAAAGGCCTGGCCCTCTGCTTCCATAAAGACTACAGCCAAGAAAACCCTGTGGAGCAGTTCCATGAGTCGGAATCGACAACAATGGATTCGGTTTGGTGTGGTAGCACATAACTTCTAGGAAGGTATTCCCCATATGATAATAGCACAGGTTTTCAACTCAGTATTAACTCTCACTGCAGAGTTTTAAATTGCAGTCAAGTTTATAAATAGCTCTATTATAGTTTGTCTTTTTTTAATACAAGAGACAGATCAACTAACATCACACAGAAAAACTGAACATACGAATTTGAAAAATTAAAATCTGTATCCTCATTTATGGAAATTTCTACCAAGTTATTGTCTATTTCTAAGGTACTACACAAGGTAGCCCTGAAGAGCTCTTCTTTTTGTGGCTCTCTCTAACTGTAACACACCCCAACGACACGCTTTAAACATCAGCCCAAGGCCAAGTCACAAACACATTCTGGTATGTTTGTATGTGCCCAGAGAAAGAGCTGGAAAGAAACCCTACCAACCATAACTAACTACACAGTAGGAGGAAGAGATTTGAGGAGAGGTCTCACTTTTTACTAAATGTATGTTCTTCCATATTTCAATTTCTTAAAAAAAAAAAAAAAAAAGCTACCAAAACCTTTGGGACACAGCAAAGGCAGTCCTCAGAGGACAATTTATAGCAATAGGTGCACAAAAAAAAAAAAAAAAAAAGCCCACAGTCACTAGAAGAAAGGAAATATAATAAGGATCTGAGCAGAAATAAATGAAATCAAGAATAGAAAAACAATAGAAAGAATCAGCAAAACCAAAAGTTGGTTCTTTGAAAGGATCAACGAAATCGACAAACCACTGTCCAGACTGACAAAAGAAAAACAGGAGAGGATGCAAATAACCCAAATAAGAAATAAAATGGGGAACATTACAACAGACTCAACTGAAATAAAAAGGATCATAAGGCAGTATTATGAAAAACTATACTCCAACAAATTTGAAAACCTAGAGGAAACGGATAGATTTCTAGAAACACATTACCTGCCCAAACTACCACAAAGTGATGTTGAAAATCTGAACAGACCCACAGCAAGAGAAGAGACTGAAAAGGTAATAAAAAAACTCCCAACAAAAAAAAAGCCCTGGCCTAGATGGCTTCACTGGAGAATTCTACCAAATATTCAAAGAGCTTCAATCAGTACTACTCAAACTATTCCAAAACATAGAAAAGGAAGCAACACTTCCAAAATGATTCTATGAAGCCAGCATAACCCTGATACCAAAACTAGGTAAAGATGCCACAAAAAAAGAAAATTACAGACCAATATCTCTCATGAATATAGATGTAAAAATTCTAGCCAACAGAATTCACCATCATATCAAAAAAATAATACACCACAACCAAGTAGGATTCATACCAGGTATGCAAGAATGGTTCAACATTAGAAAA